CAGGAAAGAGAAGTTTACGACATCCTCTCCCAAAACAACGAATTGATTGTTTGAGAAGTCTCCATTCTCTGTTGAGGAAGACAACTACTGTCCGCCGCTTTGACAAAAAGATTTTTGCACAAAGTGACCTGGCCAGCCTCGCGGCTGGCCATACGGTGCACTGTGTGCATCATCTATGTTTTTGCTAAGCGGACTATAATCGAGCTTCCTGAGAGCGTCGTGATTGCAACCACCGTCTTATCTCTACAATGTATACTGCCCGCGTGTTTATGTTTACAAAGCACACGCGCGACAATAACATGTAAATGCAGTGTCGGATCGCTCGCCGCTCTTTTTGTTCGCCGAGTTAATACATGCATGCTTCTTATGGAGTACGAGAGATTAATTAATTAAATACATTGCTTCTAGGCACTGGGACAACCAATACATGCGATATAGCTAAGATATTTTTTAGAGATCCATGTACATTTGCAGATGCTTTAGAACTTGTTGTTAAATTAATTTCAAATATAGTCACTATTTTCACTGCATTTAAATGCTAAAAGCTATTGAAATTACATAAAATTAAAATATTTACTTAGGTTATGTATAAATTATAATTTACGTACGTTATACCCATGGGATAAAATGTACCCGAATATAGTACACGAATTTGTGATCCATGACTGAAATTGCTGAGAATTTCCCTCTTCCTGCAGCATATGTACTTCGCTGAAAATGAATTATTGCCGTTATGATAGTGATTGCTATAATTATTCTGAAGAGGACGATTTTTACTTTACTACTGACAACTGATTGTGAATAATAAGTGTGCGTGTATGCAAAAACATCTTTCTTGTAATCTTAAGTGTATCTTATTTAAATGAATTGAGTTTTTTATAAAATCCTTTTTCCCGTATTCATGTTTTTTATCTTACTTTAATAAATAATTTTTTAATTGCAATCAATTCAGTGTTTTCTTCGAAACCAGTATATTATTTTTTTTATTTATGTTTATTAAATAATTTTATTTTCTTACACTGAAAATGAGACAGCAAGATTTAAAGATGATATGAAAAAGTATTGGTAAGGTCGTTCTAAGCCTCAATACTTTTTCGTTGAAAGTTTAAACTGCACTAGGTAATAAGTTGACTTTGATATAATTGTAGAATATCATTTTATACGAAAGATGTTGCAAATTGACATTTTTGAATATCATTGACTTTTGAATGACCTTGAAAGTATCACAAATCTTATATAGAGTCACCAGGATACTACCCTTAAGAACCTACATACATCAATATGCCAACGAAATGAAAAAAATAAACAAACCAATATTAAGTAATGTAACGGGGTAGCTATCCGTTTATTTAATTTATGCGCGCGATCGTATCGAATAGCGCGCGGGATTATCTACACGTTCAAACACGAAAACCGGAAAGCAGGAGGGAACGGGTGTCAGTCAATCAACTATCTACTAATGTGAAATAAATACATCGAAAATACTGTTAATATCACATACGAGATCGTTTATTGCCTCTTAATGCTACACTGTGTTCGGCCCGCGTGTTTATGTTTACATGCCGCGCGCACGACAACAACATGCAGTGTCGGATCGCTCGCCGCTCATTGTTTGCAGAGTTATTACATGCGTCTTTCTTGTCGAGTACGAGAGATTAGTTATAGACAATTTTATCGCGATCGCGAAATTCAGCTGGCCAGCTTACCTTATTATCAGTCGCACGGAGAACGAAAGAAAAAGTTCGTAGACGTGACTAGAGGGAAACTCGCTTCTATGGTCGATCGGCTCTCGCTGTCGATTTCGCCTTCGATGGCGAAACTCCTCACGCTTACATGCACTCATCTATGTCGGGTAATAGCATAGTTTCTGTCTCTCCTTCTTAATTCGTCTCGGCACTCAGAAAAGTTCGGGAAAACGTCAAATGTATTTTTGTTGCACCGCTCTGCGATCGGGTTCTAATCCTCGACTCCTTCGTTTTCATTCGCACGTGTTCCGTCGCATCTCGTACCGAATTCTCTCAATACATTTCGCCCCAACCAGCAGATGCTGCCCTCGCCGGCAACCGCATGGTTGGGCTGTTAGCGCTAATACGACGTTTACCGTCACAGTAAGTAGATGATTTGATCTTTATTATCTCTATAAGGACAGTGAAAAAAAAATTGAAAACGTACTTCTCATTCTTATACCGAAAGGAACAAGTATATGGAGATACTTTTTTGAAAAAAAATTTCTAATCATGGTCAAATCAAAGAAAAAGCCATAATTCTTGAAAAATTGCAACTTTGACCTTCGATGTTAAGGTTAAATATTTAATTTCAATTAACCGGACTATTTTTCTTTTATTTGACATTCCTAGAGCTTCAAAATACCCATGTAATAATTTGCCTACATCTACTCAGTCTCAAGATAATTGATTACGTTCAAAAACGAAAATTTTAGTTCACTGTATATCGGTAGAACCGCAGAGTTGTCTCTCAAAGCCAAATCCTACAATTCATCCAGCCTGTTCTTAGTTTTCCACTTTCTAGCAGATTTTTTGCGACTGCTTTGGGAAGTAGAATACTAACTACTTGTGTACCTGCCTAGAACTCTCTGATTTTTATATTATTCGGAGTTACTACAATTAGACCGGGAATAGCTGCAATGGCTTCTGCAACCCTTGTCATGGTCTCATGCATATCCTCGATGATTAAGATCTTCTTGATTTTCCAGAATTTAACGTCCACAATCCCTCGAAGGATAGATGATGAAACTATTTTCTCCATCTCCGGATATCCTGTACCTACCTAGCATAGTTCAAAAAGCAGTTAACCTGCTTTGGTACGTCTTATTTTGATCATTCTGTCTCCTACTTCCTTAAATTCTAGGGCAGTCTTCACTCTTCGTAGAATGTTGTACGTATAAACTCTTAACTACTGCCATGATCCTGATGACATCGGATCTTGGTGGTTGTGGGACAGTCATCTCATTCATAACTAGCTTGCTTCAGTCTTTCTTTTTGTTTTCTTCTGGTTGCTGCCGTTTCTTCTTTTTCTTTTTAATCCTGATAATTATTTCGATTCAGTTTTAATGTTTCTGTTCCACTATTTTTACTAATTTTTATTTTTTTATATGCGTCTCTTCTGATATTAATGAGCGTTTAGAAATATAGCGGGTGTGTATGTATGTGAAGTAAGAAAGAGACAGTTGCACATCATAAGTGAGATACTAAACGCTGATGTATTATTTTTTTCAGATGTGCTTATTCTCACCTTCATTCTCCGAAAAATCCAAATACTTGGATTTGTTATTCCATAGCACATTTTTCCATTGATCTATAGTCGAATTTCTATGCTTTTTAGCCGATTAAAGTCTTATTATCTTATTTTTTTTACGTCGCAATGATTCATTCACTGTAACATATTTTTTGAGTCTGACGGCGTTTAATATTCTTTTCTTTGCTAGTAATATGGGCTTGTCACAAATAGCATTAATGTCCGCGATGTTTTTGGGAATTGTTAACCACTTGTTCCATTCACAGGTAATGGTCATATTCTTAACTTTGTAAGAAGTAGTTACTTTTGTCCGTCTGGTTTGAAAACAATAATAATAACTGTCCACGTCTTCAAACCTTTTGAGTCTCGAGTACAAATCTTTCCATGAATTTTTTTTTTCTTTTTGTCTATTTCACGATATAATTTTTCTTCATTATGTATTATCAATATACCTCCTACTTTTTCATTTTAAATTTCTTTACATCTATTCATAAAAACCGGATAATATGAATATATACAAAAAAATTTTTATAAATTCATAAAAAAAATGGGTTCAAAACAACTTTTATATGCTCACAGTTCTAGCTTAACTGAATGAAAAAAAAAGAAACAGAAAACTGATGAAAATACAAAACTTAGAAATAAAAATAATATTTACAACAATTATAAACCGAAAATGAGAAGAAAATTCAAGAAATAGTATAAGCATTTCATATGAACACTTATGAACACAGAAAAATACTGTAGTCATATTACGTGTAGCTAACAATTTTACCATCGAATCACCTGAAACATTCTAAGACTGGATTATTATGAGCAAAAAATAACTTTTTTGAAGCAAAATTTTAGGAAAACTTGTTACGTCTCGTGCATCAACTACGAATAGCTAATGAATGAGACGTTCCAATATGTTGACTAGTGGTCGGATATGTCTCACTTATAATAAATATATGTGGAAATGTATGTCTGATAATTGTACTACCTTGATAATCGTAGCCTTTAATTGTTGATAAAATGTAGCAGGCTCTAACTGCTTGTTGAATAAATGTAGCAGGCTCTAACTGCTTGTTGAATTGAATAGGATAGGTTGTTGAATAATACTTGCACGATCTTACTTTGTAACAGTCGCGAGTTTATTAAGTAAAATGATCACCAATTGTCGGACCGGTGTGTACGGAGTTGAGTCTTACAGGTACTTATTGACTGACTGACGGACTACTGACCAACTGCCGAGAGTAATTTGTTCATTGCTTTTTATATCTTTTATAGTTCTTTTCAGGTCAGTATTTCGATATTGTGTGACATTTTGTTTTCGCTGATTATAAATTCTTGCGTTTTGGTGACTTAGTTTCGGAGTGTGTTTCGACAGCTTTTTGCTGTCGTGTGAATAGCTTAGCAGTTTTGAATGTGCATATGTTACAAAAAGGATGCGTCGTAAGGCTTAATTTCGGAGAGTCATTTACCTCGCTTTTAATTAGCTTTTAGCTGACGTGCGAATAGTTTAGTAGCTTTGAATTTCGCAAATGTTTATTTTATAAAAAGGATGCGTCGTAAGACGTAACAAACTATATATTTTCTATACAATACAACATATTTCCAAACTTTTAGGCGGCAGCGTACATAAATATAAATTATAATTACTTTAATATCATACTGCAAATATAACAAATGTAAGAAAATATATAATAAATATGGTATTACCACGTTAACGAATAAATATTGAAATAATATAAATATATTTATAGGAAGCATGCGCAGTCGGAATGGTTGCTGCGTTACGTCCTCAAGATTCGGTTATAACGGCATACAGAGCACATGGATGGACATACTTGATGGGAGTAACGCCTATAGGAGTACTTGCAGAATTGACAGGACGACAAAATGGAAATGCACGTGGAAAAGGTGGTTCTATGCATATGTACGCAAAAAACTTTTATGGAGGAAATGGTATTGTCGGCGCTCAGGTAGATATTAGCGTAATCATCGCTTTTAATATTTTACTGATGTATATAATGTACAACATTTAGTATTTATTATTATTACAAATATATTTCGTGTAGTTTCAATATAAATATCCTAAAATAATTTCCAGATTTAAAAAAATTGTAGACCAATAATCAGAAATCACTGGAAACTCCACGTTTCTGTTTTAACAGTTTTTCGGCTACATATTTTATGTTAATATTTAATCGATATAATGTTAATATGAGTTGAAAAACTAAGACTTTCTGACTAGCTCAAAAATAAATTAAATTTGTTAGTTCGTTTCATTTGTTTGTTTTTTAGTACAATTGGACCTCAAAGTTCACATTAATAAATGTTGTAATTTGTTTTAATAAGTAAAATCTTATACTACTTCTATAATTAGGTTAGGAATACGTGCCAAATCCATTAACTGATTAATTAGTCATTATTAAATTAAATCATTATTAACATTTTTTTTATTTACTTCAAGTTTATTTACAATATTATGTTTCCATTTTTGACTTATAAGTGTATTATGTGTTATTTATTTTGGTTTTATTGTATATTAATAAGTTTATATTTCTTTAGTCTGGTAGTAGTGATCGTTGTCGTGAGAAGTTCACTAATAAGTTTGTTTGGTTAGTTTTTTAATCTGGTGTTGTATTTTTCATAAAACATTTTGATTTCTTCTTTTACTTATGGTATCTGTAGATCATTCCTGATGATGTCATTTAGTACAAATGATGGGTTCCGTACTATATTTTTTAAATCATTAGATTGAAATATTTCTAGGCTTTCAATGTTTCTGTTTGAAGTCGTGCCCTATAACTGAATACTATAAGTCCAAATTAGTTTAATTATCGATTTGTAAAGCAATATTTTATTATCTATTATAAGCTGTGATTCTTTTCTAATGAGCCAGTATATTTTTCTCCATTTCAGTTCCAGTTGTATATGTTTTCTAAATACGCTCTTTCCATGTAAACCTCAGGTTTAAATGAATTCTCAAATAGTTCACATGACTGCATTGTGGTACGAGTATGTTTATCGTTGAGTTCAATAAGCGGGTAGGTGTCTTTTCTAAGTGTGAAAGTTTTATGTATTCATTTACTTTAATTTACTTCAATTCTTCGTGCATTTAACCAGTTTTGTGGATAATTATTTACATAATTTTATATCATTTTCCTTGCTATTTTTACTTCCGAGTGTGATTTGACAACGGCTATGAAATATGCGTATGTTGTCATGATGTTTGGAGATTTTGGCAGATCAGTGAATAACAAGTAAAATATGGGTCCTTGTACGTTACCTTGCGGTACTTCTGCTTTTATTATCTGTCTTTTTGATGTTTTGTGATTTATTTTGCCTTGAAATTCTTTATTTTGTCTGTATGGCTTAAGTAATTCATAGTATTTTTCTGGAAAATATTTTTTTAATGTTGCAACGATCGCCGAGAATCGTTTTGACTCGCGTAGGTTACTGAGCGGCTGAGCGCAACAGCCGCGATCGGTTTGAGAGAGAGAGGGCGCGTAGGGGCAATGACCGGGAGGGGAGGATTTGCTAGCCAGTATGACTGTGACATTCAGTCCGGCTACATCATAGCGATTACGAATTGCAACGTTTACCGTCTTCGAGTGAGATCCAGGGAGTTTTAGTACTGTATTTGAGAGTGCCGAGGTGGAAGTGTGCATCGCGCATCGGGTGCATAAACTGTTGACGACAACAATTCGTGGGGTGAGCCGTGTGTCCGCACTGTTCAAAGTGTGTGACACCGTCGCCTAGGACTGTCACCGAAAGCGGAGCGCCGAGTGCGCGCATCATCTCACGAGTGCGACCTTAGCTCCAGCGTGCTTAACCTCTGCGACTCCTGCAGCCACACAACGACGACAGCAGAGCAACAGACGCAGAGGCAGCTCATCAACAACGAATTAGACGGGTACGGTTGGCCACCGTATCCCCATCAATCTCGCGGTAGGTGTTTACCTCTATTTATTGTCATCAGCGAGCGATCCCGCACAGCGAGTGCGATGAATCATAAAAAGCGTGCGAGCGATTAGTTCGCGGCGATCGCGATTTTTTCTCTCTCTCTCCCCGTGCGTATTGTCATCCGAATTTGCGTGCGTGAGTCTCTCGGCAACATCCACCCTTGTATTCAATTCAAGTCAATAAAGTGGTCAGTGGTTTATACTTAACGATCGTATTGTTTTGTCTTTCCTTTGTCCGGGAACCGTGTTATTGTTTACTTTCAATTCGAACGCGCCGGTAATATAGCACGGATAACGTAGGCAACGTGAGAAGCGGCTCGCCAACCGAGTTACCAGCAGCGGCCGACGGAGCGCTGCTAAGCGAGCGCGCCAGCGCCCCGAGCGGAGAGTTCGCGAACCCAACTTCGATCGATGAGAGAACTCTGCGCAGGCGCACTCCCGGACAGGTGAGTTAATGTGCTTCTAGCACATAGATAACAAGGCGTCGTTTAGCCAATCGAATAGGTATATTCAAGAGGAATTACAGGTTAAACGGCAGCCTGTTACAATGTATATAGAAGACTTTTATGTCATACTTTATTAAAAGCTTGTACGATGTCAAGGACATACATATTTTTATAGTTCAAGATTCGCTGTTTGTGATAGTGATCTTTAAATTTTTTTAAATATTTATAAATTATGAGAGACTTTAGTTTAAACAAAAAGAAAAACAAGTGAATTTACCATTCTTTTTTTCTTTATACGAGGTGTGATCAAAGAGTAAGGTGAATTTTGAAATTTAGCGGGCTACGTCCGTTCGATCTTCGACTTTTTTATTTGGTTATGTCGGTACACTCGTCTAGAACATACGTTCCAAATTTCAGCTTTGTATTATGTTTGGTTTGTTTGTGAGAGGCATCAAGGTTAGAAGTATTTTGCATGCTCCACGATTTGCTGCTGTCTAAAAACATGGATCAAAGAGTTTGCATTAAATTTTGTGTGAAAAATGGAATCAAATGTTCCAAAATACTTGAAATGCTGAAAGTGGCATACGGTGAGTCTACTTTAAGCCTAAAAAATGTTTACAAGTGGTATAAACTCTTCCAAGAAGGCCGAGAAGACACCGACGACGAACCTCGTTCTGGACGCCCCAGCACATCAATAACTGATGAGAATGTTGAAGAAGTGAAGAAAATAGTGTTGGGAAATCGTTGAATTACCATTAGAGAAATTGCTGATGATATTGGCATCTCATTTGGTTCGTGCCAATCAATTTTGACGAGTGTTTTAGACATGAGACGTGTGTCAGCGAAGTTTGTTCCGAAATTGCTCAATTTCGACCAAAAGAAACGTCGCATGAGCATCGCCCAAGAGCTACTGAATGACGTCAACGATGATCCAGATTTACTCAACAGGGTTATAACAGGTGACGAAACATGGGTATACGGTTATGACGTCGAGACTAAGACTCAATCGTCCCAGTGGAGGTATTCTGGATCACCAAGACCAAAAAAAGCACGCCAAGTTCGATCAAATGTAAAGGTTTTGCTTACAGTTTTCTTTGACTGCAGGGGCGTGGTGCATCATGAGTTCTTACCACAGGGTAGAACAGTAAATAAGGAATATTACCTGCAAGTTATGCGCAATTTGCGCGAAGCAATCCGCCAGAAACGTCCGAATTTGTGAAAAAATAAAAATTGGCTTTTGCACCATGATAACGCCCCTGCTCACACATCGTTGCTTGTGCGCGAATTTTTGGCTAAAACCAACACAGTAACGATGCCGCAGGCACCGTATTCCCCAGATCTGGCCCCCCGTGACTTCTTCTTGTTCCCAAAACTGAAGAGGCCCATGAAAGGACGGCGTTTTGCCACGATTGAGGAGATAAAGACGGCATCGAAGGATGAACTAAACAAGATCACAAAAAATGATTTTTTGAAATGCTTTGAGAATTGGAAAAAGCGTTGGCACAAGTGCATTATATCCGAGGGGGATTACTTTGAAGGTGATAAAATAAAAATTGATGAATAAATAAATATTTTTTGAAAAAAATAAAAATTCACCTTACTTTTTAATCACACCTCGTAAATCAAATTTCCTATTGGATATGTTTCCCATCTGCAATAAACTTGGAACCTCATTAACCCGTGCAAAAAATTTCTATACTTTAACACTAAACCTACCAGAGCTGTCAAATCACCGCTACTAAAGCTCGAAAAATAAATTTTTTTTAATTATTATATGATACTTATTTTTTGTTTATTATTTATGCTAAATTCTGTATAAATTACAATCAATTTATTTTTTCCTGCTGTAGTAGTAGTAGTAGTAGTATTTTATTGCTCGTGTATAGCCTTCACGGCCTTTTACATTATTTCTTACATTCTAAAAAACGCTTACAAAAAACTATCTTCGCATCACCGTTTCGCTACAATAAAATCCACAAAAAATTCGCTTTAACAATATAAATATTTGCACATCTTGCCTCTCCCTTATTTGCTTTTTGCCCTACTACCTCTGCTCTTATTCGGGATGCTCACTATCCCTCCTCGATTTGCCCAATTTTTCGAAAATGAATACATAGTTGCAGATTGCTCTATTAGGACTCTCTGTTAACATTTCAATCAATTTATTGCTTTTTATCTTTCCCCCACCAGTAGTTTTCTGTTCCTCAAGCTCCCTTACCTATGTACCCCCTATTTCCTCTTTTGCACTTCTACATTCTAGCATATATTCCAAGCTCTCTTCTATCCTTCCACAAAATCTGCACTCTATCTGTTTAAACCCTTTCGCCCGTTCTCTACCTATGTTCCCATATCTTATTCTCGCCCATTGTTCCTTTATCCATCCCGGAGTCATCCTGTCCGTCCAATAAGCCTCTACCCCCACTGTCTCTTTCAGTTTTTTATAAAGTTCGTTATATGTTCACCCGTCTATTTTGCCCACAAACTTTGTAGTTCTTGATCTGCTTTTCTTTCTAACCCACTCTCTAGTTGCCCTTTATTTTTTCTACTTCTTTTTTGTCCCATACCATT